GTAGCATTAGACCAACTCATTGAGTCATGGAAGCATAAATAAGCAACTCATTGAAGTTACATATATCTCAGTTCCCTTTAATCTCCATCCATTTTAAAAAGTTTATTACGTTTGTGTGTGTGTGTGTGTGTTTTTTTTAAGTTCTAAATTGATTCCCCTCACTCCCTGTATGACACCCCTGTTGGTGCTTCGTGTGGGTGTGAGTTATTCAATGCTGGCTGGCCATCTCGTGTGGGTGTAAGTTATTCAATGCTGGCTGGCCATCTCTATCTTATTGTCACATGCTAAAGGCGACCTATTTGTGGGTTGTGACTAACTCTCTTTGAGGAGGATGCAAGCGTGGGTTAGTTCCCTTTAATCTCCATCCATTTTAAAAGGTTACATATTGAATATGGGAGCGTATTCTTTTCCAAAACTGGTACAAACTTACTTTTTACCTTTTTATCCTATTAGATTTATAGATTTTAATTCTTCACTTTATACTATGACACTTTATATTATGACACTTTATATTATGATACTTTTAATCTTTCACTTATTAGAATTGAAGAAAATAAACCTCATTTTATAATATTTTGTTAGTTTTGTTAATTAATTGTTAACTCTGTTAATTGACTTTTAAGTCTGTTAGCTGAAAGTAGATTTTTGCCAACTAACAGTCAACTAATAGAGTTAACAATCAACTAACATAATAGTTTTATTAACTGATTGTTAATTTTATTAGCTGAAAATAAGTTTTTATCAGCTAACAGTTAATCGTCAGTTAATAGAGTTAACAGTCAACTAACAAAACTAACAAAATGTTATAAGTAAGGGTTATTTTTTTTAATTCTAATAGGTGAAGGATTAAAAGTGTCATATTATAAAGTAAGGATTAAAACTTATAAATTTAATAAAATAAAAAGTTAAAAGTAGGCTTGTGCCTCAAACGCAACATTTCCTTCGCCATTGAGGCATATTTCAAAAGAGAGCATGTCCCCCTAGCTAGAGGTTATTTTTACTAATTAATTGGTTAAGATCATCAATTTAATTATAATTTTATTAATTTATACTCTTTATTTTTATTTTTAATAGATTTAGTTTGACTTTTTAGTTTTTAAGATATGAATTTTAAATAAAAATTTAATAATTTATATAAATAATAATTAAATTTTTTATCAAATAAAAATATTTAATAAAAAATTATATATTAAAAAAATAATTATTATTTTTATATATTATTACATTTTTATTTAAAATTTATGTATAAAAAATAACTCTTGATAACTAAGGACATGTCCGAACAATAATAATAATAACAACAACTCCTTGATAACTAAGGACATGTCCGAACGGTGTTTACAAACAACTCCTTCCTTGCATTTATCAAAGTGAATTTTGTAGAGGTACGAACTCCACCAAACTATCTTCACAACTGTCTATTCAAACGGTGTTTACAAACAACTCCTTCCTTGCATTTATCAAAGTGAATTTTGTACAGGTACGAACCCCACCAAACTATCTTCACAACTGTCTCTTCAAATTAACTTTATTTCAATTGCGGTTGGTACAATGAAATTAGAGACCGGTAGATCAAAAAGTAGTGTTTACAAACAACTCCTT